CACCCTATGCCCACCGCCGCCATCTTAAGACACAAACGTCAGTAGTGCTTATATATATGTATATATACACATATATACATATATATGTTTCAAATATGTGCAGCTTAATTTCTTCATATATACCAGGTATATAAATATGAAACCGGAATTTGCCCTTAGATGGCCCTAGCTGTCAATGTAGTTACCGTCAAACCGCGTCATTGGCGCCATTTTCTTGTTTTGACACAAGAAATTATAATATGGACTTATTTAAACTTTTAATATTAACACAATCACATTTGATTGACAGCTGTCAGACTGTACGTGTGACGTTTGTATTCTAACATGGCGGCTATTTTAATCGACCAATCAGAAAGTGGAACAAGTTGGCGCCTCTCTGATAATCTAGGACTCTACTTAAAACTATTTTCGCTTGAAAAACAAGATTCTTTTGTCCCCCTCATTTGTCCCCCAAACGCTTCAGAGCGAAAATAGTATCTAACGGAGTGCATTTATTATTGAATATACATATAAAAACTTTTATAAAATTTTTATATTCCTTATATTTTTAAACGTAATTTTACTTGATTAACAAGATTTTTGCAAATGAAATGATATATATATATATATCTCTCTCCCTTTCTCTCTGAAAAAAAGAACGCGATTTTATTCGGATAAATTTCAATTAGATACAAATTTAAAAATTAGATAAAAAATGTTTTTTCTTATGTAAATAAAAATTATCCGAATATATAAACTCTGTGATATATTAATAATCGTTTATTAAATAATTGATCTATAATTCAAAATACTTTATAATTTAATATTCCGCTTGTATACATATACTACGCAAAATATTTTCGGCCGCGAATTATCAATAACATGGTATTTGGTCTTTTGGCGGCGTAAACAATAACGCGCTATTGTTTACATATTATAGTTTTGTTATTATTCGCACGACGACACTTGAATAGTATTGTAGTTTTGGGGGAGAATTCCTTTCTCACTCTCACTTCTTGTTTCTTATCATTCGCATTCGCACGGCGACACTTGAACGGTGATATAGTAGTTCGAGATGCTCCGTCAAATTCCTTTTCTAAACGCGATCGCGACAAATATCGGGAAATAATTGATATAATTAATAATTAATTCTCTCTCGCTCTCTTTCTCTTTCGCGTCATCGCGTCATGTAATTTTCCGTTGTTCAAAATCTTCTAGAGAAAAGATGTGTGATTAATTTCGCCACATATATTAACAGACACATAAACAGAAAGATTTTCGAAAAACGAGTATAACGGGTTTGATAAAAATTCTTTCAAGTATGTTAATTTGATTTCTCTAGAGAAAGAAATTGGCAGTCTGAACCATGGCTTCGATAGATTTAGTGCCGTTCGAAGAGGAGCTAAAAAGAAATCCTGAATTAAAAGAAACGGATATACAAATGTTGAGAGAATGGTGCGAGAAACAACCTCACTTGCCAAAGATATCAAACAGCGAACTAGCATTGTTCCTACACAACAATTATTACCGACTTGAGCCGACCAAGACTACTATCGATACCTTCTTCACAGTTAGGACTCATGTACCCGAGTTCTTTTGCAATCGGGATTTGACAAACAATAAAGAACTCAAAAAAGCCAAGCAAGTTGTGTAAGTACGTATATGTATACATATATAATAAAAATAAACTGTGTAGATAGAATTTTTCTATTGATTGCTACTTTCAAACAAGATAAGTAAGATTGATCATTCTTTTTACAATTATATCAAAAAAATTTTTACATTAAAAAGGATCTTAAGACATGCTTTTCTTATACATGTATTGAAAGTACTTGTTTTTTGTGTTTAGTTCAATATATCTTGTTGCAATATAAAATAGACATATTATATAATTGTACAATTATATTTTCACATAACTAACTCTGCATGATTAATGATAAATTGATCTCGTTTGAAATGGTCGTGTATATATATATATATATGTTTCTATAAAGTATGTACTATAAAAATATTCTCACGCATAAATTTAACTGTGTGTGTTTTCATACCGAAGAGTCGTTAATAAAATCGAGAAACTCTATATATATTTCAAACTTCACAACTTTTACAAATATATATAATTTGTTGATATTAAATATAAAAGATATCAAATAAGAGTGTAAAGATTCGATAATAAACTAACGGTTAAATATTAGCTTCAGGAAATTTACGATCACTTTCAATATTGCAAAATCACGAGTAAATTACTATGAATTTTATGATTTACTTTTAATTAGAGATTAATGTATTTACAATTTCCGTATTAGAACCAAATATTTGTAAAATAAATTAATAAATTACATTGCAAAAATACCATTTTTATTTCGCGCTCATTTCGCGTTTTTTTCGCGTTTTTTTCCGTTCTTTTTGTTCTTGAACGCGATCGCTGTCCCTCTCGTCAGGTGAACGTTAAGTGCCGGTCTATAATAGTGATTTAAGCTCTAAGCCTTAAGAAATTGACTAATCACAGTCGAGTATTCTCCTCATACTTGATCGTGATTGGTCAATTTCTTAAGGCTTAGAGCTTAAATCACTATTGTAGACCGACACTAATAAAGTTGTTTGGTTCGTACCGGCAAGTAATCGAAACGATCTTTATCGTGGAGAATTATTTCTTGTTGGCTCTTGTAATATCCATCCGCGACGTCTAGTTCGGCGCTTTGTTGAAAATTGGGGATTTTCATTGCAAGATTGGAATTAATCCTAGGTTTTCCTGGCGATTCCTGAAAGTAATGGTTTTGGTACTAACATAACGACGAGCACCACACGCCTCTTTAAAGTCGAATTAAGAAATTAATTTAAACAATATATATTTTTTTAGAAGAAAAATATATTTTCTTCTCTTTATCAAAAGTGTTCTTCTATCATTATTAGTATTAATATTATTATTATTTTTATATAAAAAAGAAATATTTAACAGTAGATTAAACATGGATATAGCTATTATGTATAGATTTATATTTTTTTTAGTAATTTCTAATTCTATCAGTTTGTCCATTTTTGTTGACTTTTTTGATAAAGAATTATGGTTACGAACAAATATATTTTAATAATTAACTATTAATTAATATAATTTTTGGATTTTGTTGAAAAACTATTTCTAGGCACTTGGGATATTAACATTAGTTTTTTGTTTCTTTTAAGAAACTATTTGCAGATATTGGACACCCTGCCACTCTAGGACATCAGTCCTGGATTAGTGCTTTTAAATACATGTATTATTC